TTACAAAGGATTTCTGGTGAAAGTTGATCCCGAAAAGGATGAAGATTGGGGGCTGACTAAAGCTTCGTGAGGGCAAATCTGGTTTGAGCAGAGTTTGTGCTTGTATTTGTTTGTTTGATTGAGTGTCCTTGTCTCTGATTTTTCTTCCTCCTTTTATAGACAATTTGGCTTGGCTGTCTGCAGTGTTGATTTTGCCCGAATGCATCTGAAAGGCACTGACTCATCAACTTTTTACTTGTACTGCCATTGTAAAGTACTTTTGGGCTGATTAGTTGGCTGGTCTACACCACTTGACCCCTAGGTAGGTGAGCAAGTAGTTTAAATGAGCTACACTTGGTCGGGAAACAAGCCCCTTCTTGCTTCTGGACTTCGGCTGGGCTTTGGACTTTTCCTTCTTCTAAACCTCCTTTTGAGCTAACCTCTTCTTAACCCAAAGTTCAAGTTTTATCCCAAACACACTCACGATTTCTTCAGATTCTTACAACTTTACAGGAAGCTTTGCATTGTGCTCTTATAGCCCAAATTTCTGAAGGAAAAATAAAACGATTGGAGAAAGAAATTATTGGACGAGTTGCACACTTTCAGTGCCTGCTGGTGATCATTTTGGGTGTTTGAGGACTTACAAGAGGATACCCAAAACATTGAAGTTTGCTTTTCTAGAGCTAGGAGCTAAAACTGGAATTACCTACTGTCACTGACCACCCCTATAACTGATTGAAACAACCCCTCGCACAGATCAAAATGAGGACTCGTTTCCTCTTCAAGATAAAGCTAGATCCCCCTAATATGTTTAACAAACCAGGGAAAGGAAAGGATGTTTGTTCCTTGGTCGAAACATCGGGTATCGACTTATTAAAAAAATAAAACTTATCTGTAGGATATATGTGGTTGCACCGAAACTATACTTTTGGAGGGGCTCATCAAGCTCTTTCTCCAACTTACCTGCGGATTGGCCAAATTTTTTCTTATATCTATATTCCTCGACTGGTACTTGACCGTCATTATGTGAAAATCCCCTTTCTTCTGAAACATAATCTATCCCCCGCCATTAAAGATACCAAACCAAGTCTCTACTAAAGTAAAATCTGCTCGAGATTATCTGTATTTATCAAAGTTGTTCCTATATAACATAACGTTATTGGATCAAATGACAAAGATATTGTTGAGAAAAAGATGAAAGCCTTTCCCGGATGAAATGAAAATTGAATTTATGTAATAAGAAAACAGAGAAAGGTTTCCCATTTCTTAGTCGGAAAGACATGTGGCCATGAAACAGGGATTAAGTGGAATAGAATTGACTAGGCGATAGTCGTGAAACATGAAAACACATGTTTCTTCCATATTTTTTACCTTAGCTCCATGGAACAATATACTAACTACTGTTGAAACATGATTTGGCATTTGGAGTTATCTCCAACAAGGGTCATCGCTCGCTTCATACGCTTTGCTGCTTCATCGAAGTAGGTTTGAGCTAGATCGTTGATCTCTTGCCACCTCTTGGCATAGTACATTAATAGGCAAGCCCCTCCTACCACAATGGTGTAAGGTGTTAGAGGCTATTACTTCATGGCCAACTCAAATGGGCTAAAGTTCGAGGCAAAGCTTTTTAGTTTTTAGGTTATAGCAGCACTAAGCAACATCTAACAACCTCAATCTGGTGTGCCCTAAAGTGCCTTAAGTAGCCCCCAAGTACAACATTCAGTAAGAAGTAAGCCAAGTTCAGTGATCCTCGATAATAAACTATCAAGCAGAGGAAAGAACTGATGACTTATATCCCACAACACAAGAATGATGGAAAGTCATGGAATTAATCGAAGTTAACCAAGTCTCTTAGCCGTTATGCTAGGGTGACTCGAGAAAGTTTGAAAGAATAAGGTACGTAGAGCGTGAACCAAGGTTCATGGGCAGATCAAAGTTGAATCTTGTAGATCCTAGTATTTAGAACCTAAAAAGTCCATACTGGTAGTTATAAAGCTCAAGATGTCAGTGGGACTTTCCCTTCCTGTCAAAAAACTATGAGAATCAAGCCACAAATGAGGTCAATGTTGCTGAATGAATGAGACAGAACCAATGCATTAGAGCTATGAGAGTTTTTCAGTGTACCTAGAACACGAAATGGTACACCACATGTCACTATATAAGTCCTAAGATACTTATCTTAAAAACTTAACAACTTAAAAAAAAAAAACTTTCCTCCACTTATATAATGACACGTGGTGTACCGTGTACCTCCCGTTTTCTAGGCAAAATGAAAAATTTCTCCAAGGCTAGGCTGATGATGTTTGTCTAGCCTGCTTTCTAATTGCTTTCGGACCATTCTTCAATGGCATGAAGTTTTAGTGGCATCGAATTGGCTGCCTGATCGGACAGATAAAAGGAGAACCATCTAGGGAGGCATCTAGATTTGATTCAGGTCGATTAAAGCTTGAAAGGGAGTTGGCCTACTAGAAGTTTTGTTTTTTTAGGACCCATAAAATGTAACACCCACCCCCATTTATAAAATATATCTATGTAATTACCCCAAAATGTTATGAATATATCTTTTTGGTCATATTTTGACTACCCTATCAGGATCTAAGCATTGGATTCTTTTCTTCCTCATGCTGCCACGTGGCAGCACCCCAAGCAATTTCTCATTCTTCTCTCTCTGTCCCCTCCTGAACCCATCTTCTTCTTCTTTTTTTATGTCTTTCCTGTCTCCCCTTCTCTCTCGAAACCCTCACTCTCTCTCTCTCTTCTTTGCAATGTGAACCCACACACACACGTACACCATCGCACCTGCTCAAGGAAGACACCCATCACCATCATCAACCTCGTCCTGTTCTCTCTCCCTCTTGTTTCTGCAACTCGGCGAAACCTGGAAAGGAACTCTAGGGAATTTTTCTATTTCCCAGTTAGGTAAGTCTCAAATCTTCCCTTTTTCGTCCTTGAATCTTGTGAGATTGAGTTTTAATTGAGTTTTATGCGTGATTGTGGAGGTTTTAGGACGAAATCAACGCGGGGGTAATTACACCCATCTCCGGCAACCTCGGGAGTATTGAGGGAAGTTCCGGCCATCTCCAACTGGTTCAAGGCAAAAGGAAGGTATAAAAACACTCTCATCGTCTTATGCTTTCGTTTGGTACCTAGATCGAGGTCTAAAACCCCTGTTTGCAGTCGGCCGGAGTTGTAGAAGCTCCGATGTTCATTCCCAGCGAGACCAGGCCGTGCAGGCCAGTTCCAAGGCAAGCGGGCCTTAGGCTCGTGTGGTGAGCCTAGCCCAATCCCCCTAACCCAATTGATTTTCTTTTGTTTTTAGTTTTAATTGTTTTAGGACCAAAGGCCTTCGGGCCGTTAAGTTTAGGGCTTGAGGTCCGTTGACCCAACCCAAAACCTTTCTAGGTTTTATTATTTTCTGTTTTAGGAAGTAAGGCCTTAGGGCCAATTAGAAATGGGCTTTCAGCCCTTTCCCAAATCCCATTAGCCTTAGTCTAAACCCAAAACCCTTAAGGCCCTTTCGGCCCAACCCAATTCAAGCCCAAGTCTGACTTTGACCTTTAACCAGTTGACTCTAACTGTTGACTCGGTCAATGTTAGTGTTGACTCGGTCAACTGTCAGAGTTGACTTTGATTTTGACCGGTCAACGTTGACTTTTTGAGTTGACTTTTCGAGGTTTCGTCTAGGACCTCTCCTAGGCTAATTTTGACGTCCTGGACCCGTTTTTTAAGTTCGTTTTCCTAAATTCAATCGTTTGAATAGAGTTTGACTAAATGTACTCCTTTATGTGAATAGGTGCAATTATTAACGATGATTACGTTATACCTTTTTGGTACAGCTTTGCACCATCGGTGTACGGTGAGTGGACCCTTTCAAAAACATATTTTAATAATAGAAATGCGTACATAAAAAGCATGATTTAATACTTACATTTTATGAAGTACTTTATGAGATAATATGCTTAGTGAGGCTAGTTTGAATTATTACTATTTTTCCTATAACCCGTGTTCTTATAGAATATCCGATGGATGACGATATGATATTTAGAACATGTTTCAAACACCTCTTTATAGTATAGATGATAGATGACTTTATCTATGAAATTGCTTTTCAATATATATATGTTCAATGGTTTTGTACTTACCTAGTGGTCCTTTCCGCGACGGGACGTAGGGATAGATTCCGGTCCATCCCAGGTGACGGTTTGGTGTTGGCATAGGGCCTGGAGTGTATTTCCTCTGGCTATTTAGCACAAGGACGAGGAGCCGACATGGGGCCTGAAGTGTATTTTCCTCTGACTGTCTGCTCAGAGATGGGGAGCCGGCATGGGGCCTGGGGGTTATCGGACAATTCACTAGTGTTATTACTTATACAAGTTATGAATTTGAGACACTGCACATCATGCTAGGTTTCGGAAAACCTATGTTTTTCATTATATATGTGTTTTCATAAAACTAAGGTTTAGAATGTTGATAACTGTTTTATTATATCTATATCAACTTGGTCCACTCATGTTTGTTTTGCGCCCCCTTTAGGACCTACAAATGAGGATTATGATTTAAGCTACGAGCCATTTCCCTACCAGTGATTCAGTGTTATATTTTCTCTGCTTCGACATCTATTGTAATATAGCACATCTCTATCTTAAATTATGTTTGTACTCTGTAATAGACGTATGCTCTGACATTATGTGTTTGACCATAATTTTATAAATTAGGAGTGAACTTTAGTATTGTGTTGCTAGTTCCTGCTGCCTGTTTTAGCTTATTTATGAGCTTTTACTTAAATTAAATGGTTTTCGTCACCCTTCGGGTGTCGGCCAGCACGTGACCATCCCGATGTCCCGAGGACATCGGGATCAGAGCGTGTCATAAAACACCTTATTAATCTGAAAAAGGACATTCGGCCCAATACCTTAACCATGTAATTTCAATGTTTTAAAGAACTCGCCTCAGGGCGCGCCTATGGCGCCCTTGAGGCTGGGCGGCGAGACAAACGCCTCAGTTTTGATAGAGTAGGCGAAATGCTTTGCCGGAGACACCGAGGCGGCGAAGGCGCGCCTCAAGGCGTCCAGGCGCCCTGGTTTTTTTTTTTTTTTTAAAAAGCCATCCAAACCCAAAACGATGCCGTTTGGGTAAGGATTTTTAGCTTTATACCTGTTATTCATACATACCTTCAATTTTCTTTAGTCTTCTTCGCATTCTTCTTCTTCTCCCGGGCACCAGAACCACGCCGCCCGCCGCTAGGAGCAGCAACGTCGCCACGCTGCCACTTGGAGCAGCACCGACACTGCCATCATCCAGCCGCCGTCACCCCAGCGCCGTCAGCAAGATCGCAAAGGTTAGGGTTTGGGTTTTTGAAATTGAAGTCACAGAAGCATAAAAATTGGGGATTTAGGGATTTAGGGATTTAGGGATTTAGTTTCCTGGGGAAGTCTCTGCCTCTGTTTAGGGATTTAGTTTTTTGGTGAAGTCTTTGCCTCTATTTTCTGGGAAGTCTCTGCCTCTGTTTTCTGTTTTCTGGGAAGTCTCTGCCTCTGCTTTCTTTTTTGGGAAGTCTCTGCGTGCAATGCACCCATGTGCTGCCTTTTTTTGTTTTTGTTTTTTATTTGGTAATCTGTGTTGTTTATGTGATAATCTGCCATGTGTGTTTATGTGATAATCTGCCATGGCCCATGGTATATAAAATTATAAATACATAAATTGTTGGTTCATTAACTGTATGCATGCATCGTATGTTTATTGTTTAGGGCATTGAAGAATATGGCTTCTTCTTCTAAGAAAGATTTTGCTTGGCAATGGACAAAAGATTTGGATCCTGTCACCAAGCACTTCTATTGTGTTTTTTGTAACCACAAATGCACGAGTTCAATTTTTAGATTCAAACATCACTTGGGTGGTGTAAGTTCGGGAGGAATGATAAATTGTAAAAAAGTCCCACCCAATGTGAAGGAAGAATGTTATGCTAATGTTATGGCAATTAAAGAAAAGAGGAAAGCTAGCCATGAGTTGTGTCGTGGTGGGGGAGAAGAAAGTGAAAGTGTCGATATGGGTACAAGAGGGACAACATATGTAAGTAGTGGGAGTGGGAGTGCCACATATTCACAACAAACTGGTTCTTTTCTACCACCTAGGTCAAGAGGACCATTTGATAGGTATGTTACATCGAAAGCTTGTCAAGCCACATTGAATACACCTTTCAAAAAAGAGGAAAAACGACAGGCATCCCGAGCACTTGCGAGATGGTTCTACACTAGTGTCATTCCATTCAATGTGGCAAACAATGAACATTATGTTAATGCAATAAAATTGGTATCCAATTTTGGCCCCGGCTTTAATGCTCCTACAAGCCATGAATATAGAACTTGGATGCTCAAAGAAGAAGTTGAGGATGTACAAACTCTGATGAAAGAACATCAAAAGGCTTGGAAGAGATATGGATGCACTATTATGTCGGATGGATGGTCGGATGGCAAAAGTAGGTGTTTAATCAACTTTCTTGTCAATAGCCCGCAAGGTACTTGTTCTTGAAATCAATTGATGCATCGGCCTCTATTAAGAATGGAGATTTGTTGTATGCCTATTTGGATGATGTTATTCAAGAAGTTGGGGAGGATAATGTGGTTCAAGTTATATCCGACAATGCTTCAAACTACAAGAATGCCGGGTCAAAACTTATGGAGAGGAAAGAGAATGTGTGGTGGACTCCATGTGCGGCTCATTGCATTGATTAATGCTAGAAGATATTTCTAAGATGACATGGTTTGATGACACACTCAAACGTGCTAGGTGTATTTCAAAGTATCTATATGGGCATCAATGGGTACTAGCTTTGATGAGAAAATACACCAACAATTCGGAAATTCTTCGTCTGGCGGTCACTAGGTTTTCCACTTCTTTCCTTACACTACAAAGCTTACAAAAGCAAAAAGACAATCTTGTTGCTTTGTTTGCCTCTTAAGAATGGTCGGAAAGTACCTATGCAAAATCCCATGAAGCAAAGTTGGCTAAGCATCATGTGTTACATGATCGTGAGTTTTGGGGTCGAGTTTCCTATTGCATTAAGGGTGTTCTTCCTCTTGTTTGTGTTTTGAGAGAGGTTGATTCGGAGGAGAGACCTCCCATGGGTTTTATATATGAGTTGATGGATGCTGCAAAAGAGAAAATTGCGAGCAATCTTAACAAAGTGGAGAAAAAATATATGCCTATTTGGAGAAAAATAGATCGTGGATGGGACGAACAACTTCATCAACCACTACATACGGCAGGCTATTACTTGAACCCACAATTTCGATATGAGGATGGTTTCTTAGCTACTGATGAAGTGGTAAATGGGTTGTTTGCTTGCATGGATCGGATGCTTGGGAAAGGGAAAGAACGTGAAGAGGCCGATTGTCAATTGGATTTATATAATGATAAGCGTGGTCCATTTGCGGATTCTATGGCTATGCAAACTAGGAAAAAGCGAACACCAAGTAAGATTTAATTAGTCAATTGTTAATATCTTTTTATCATTAACCCTTAAATTACTTACCTTACTAATATTATTTTTTTAGCGGCTTGGTGGGAGTGCTTTGGGCATAAAACACCAGAGTTAAAGAAGTTTGTTGTTCGAGTTCTAAGCCTTACTTGTAGTGCGTCGGGATGTGAGAGGAATTGGAGCACATTTTCAATGGTAAGTAAATATATTATTAGTATCTTAAGTGTCATTTTTACTTAAAACGATTAAACTTGAGTAATAGAATTGATTTATTTGTAGATTCATACAAAAAGAAGGAATAGGCTTGAACACAAAAGGCTTAATGCTTTAGCCTATGTCAAGTATAATTTGGCTTTACAACAGAGAAGTAAGAAAATGAGGTACAACAGAGAAGTAAGAAAATGAGGGAGAAGTATGATCCTATTGTTGTAGAAGAAATTACCTCCGATGATGAATGGATAACGGAGATAGAAGATCCCGTTCTTTCCGAAGATCCTACATGGCTTGAGGATAAGTTATTGTATAATGTTGAGGCCATAAGGAATGTGCCACCCCCGGTTTATGAAGGTGGCCCATACATTCGAGAGCCTAGAGAGTCTTCTCCTCCTCCTCCTCCTCCTCGTGAGCCTACTCCTCCTCGTGAGCCTACTCAACCTCGGGATCCTATTACATATAAAAGAAAACAAGGTAATGAAGAATCCTCAAGTCGAAGAAATGTGGAGTATGATTCGGAAGAATCTTTTGATGAATTGATGACATACCCTACAAGGTCATCTAGAGTTGGCAATGAAGAGGATGATGCCTTTTATTTAGATGAAGAGGATTTGGATGATTGATTGATATCTTTGTTTGTATTTTGATTTCTATGAAGAGGATTTGGATGAATGATTATTTTCTTTGTTTGTATTACCTTTTGAATGATGAATTTGGATGATATTACCTTTGAATGGTGAATTTGGATGATATTATCTTTTGAATGACTATGGATTTGAATGAAAAATTGAGAATGGATGTTTATTTTACATACTATTATTTTTATACAATCATATGTATAATATATAAAACATATATATAAAATAAAAATTAAATCCCGTGAGGCTTCGCCTCACGCCTAGGCTGGGCTTCGCCTCGGACGCCTCGCCCACGCCTCACGCTTTTAATACATTGTGTAATTTCTTGGACATTTTTTTTCTATCACCACACAAGATGACAAGAATTGAACCTATGGCCCTCTCTACAAAAAACAGATGAGAGGTATTCGTCCTTGTTTGTAGGGTTGGTTCAGGTGCGCAAGCAAACCAGCACCTGACACAACAGCAGGTACTATGGCCTAGTATTCAGCACTATTGATAGGTCTCAAATTCGCAATAAGGGATACGAAAGCTCCCCATGTTGTAAGTGGTTGGGTGATTCACTTCTAGTGCAGTCTTAGATTGAAGAAAGTTTCAAAGTTAAAGAGAATCATCTGAAAGCCTATTGGTTGAAGGCAATGAGATTGATGGCAATGTTTGAAGAAGTACCAGTTGACCATGTCTCTCAATCCAATTCATTGTTGCGAGGAGGGTTGTCAAGCTTGTATAAAAAAAAGACGTATAATAAATTGTTGATTGCTATATATTCTTAAACCTCTCCACCGTGCCCTTAACCAAGGAGGGGGCTCAGCGGGAAGAGTTCGGTAGTTGGGACTTTGTTCCATTCGCTCAGCTGAAAGAGCGGAAACTCTATTTCTTCTTGTGGTTTCCGTGTATGACTTTGGATTTAGCGGACAATTCAAAGTATCGAAGTCTTGTTTCACCAAACTCAACCCCTTTGCTTAATAATAGTAGGGATTTGGTAAAGTAATCACGTCCACAACGTAAACATTAACTTTGTGACAGTAATACAATGTCACTTGTGTGATTAACTATAACCTTTTGGACTAGTGTAACCTTATCTTTTTTTTTTCTTTTTTGTTTTTTTATATTCAGACGCTGAATGTTAACATATGTACTAACAATTCCCTTTTTCTGTTTAAAAAAATAGGGCATGAAAATAAGCAAGGATCGCCCTAAGGTAAACTTTGAAACTGAATTAGATCAATCTTAATAAAACAGATTTGGATGGTGAGACAACTATGTCGGAGATGTCTTAATAAAACAGGTTGATGGTTAATCTATCCAATATATACAGTTAAGGTGACCTTCCACGGATTCGCCTATATGAGTCACAACTAAGAGCATTTATTCTTGTTCCCCATGTCCTGAGTTTGATTTCCCCTTCTCCTAATATTGCTTTTTTTTTAGAAAAAAACAAAACTGCAAAATAAGAGCCCGAACAACACTTGACATAGACATTGTGAAATTCCGTCTAATTCAAACATCATGTTTAAGGGATCATATGCGATGAAAGGAATAAACCTGTAAGGAAAATATTTTTTTTGTTCTTCCCTTGGTTATATCTGAACTATTTTTGTATTTATTCATAACAACAAGCTTAGCAATTATTTAAATCCAATTTGATGGTCAGCCATAACTGAAAATGATCAATACATTCAACGTCCCCTTTTACTGCTATATCAGTAGAGACCGCATTTCACTCTGTGTAATAAAATGCTGGCTTTGTTGGTACAGGTAACTTCATGCTTTCATTTGTCAACATGGATATCACCTCTGACATGGTTGGTCGATGGGCTGCATTTTCCTCTACGCATAGTAGACCGATTTGGACGCATCTTAACAATTGATCACTAATACATGTTTCGGCTAGGGTTGGATCCATTAGCTCTATCCCTCTTCCTTCTTTCCATAGCTCCCATGCCTGAAGAAAACATTGATTAAAGTCAATGAATATCATACGTCGAAAGATGAGAGAAACTTATTGGTAACTGCAGTGATTTGTTTGACATACATGTCCTACTAAGTTTAGCACGCGATCTTCATTGTGTAAGCTGTTGTTTTTCCTTCCGCTTATAATTTCAAGCATTAACACTCCATAACCGTATACATCAGATTTTACAGAAAAGAGTCCTGCCATGACATACTCGGGGGGCATATAACCACTGTACCAAAAGAGGAAAGAAAATTCTTTAGCACATTTCATTTATGTAAATGCGTGTGTTCCTTAACCGAAAGAAACATGTGATAAGAGTATTTGTATGTTTATATGAAATTTTTCTTACAATGTTCCGACAATCTTACTAGTATTTGCTTCCAGTTCCTGCGTGAAAATCCTTGCCATCCCAAAATCCTCAATTTTGGGGTTAAAATTTTTGTCAAGCAGTATGTTACTAGCTTTCAAATCTCTATGGATCACTTTCGTTCCCGCATATTTGTGCAAGTAAAGCAATCCTTGAGTGATTCCTTCAATTATATTGAGACGCTTCTTCCAATCTAGGAGCGCACCTCTGATTGGATCTGTGCAGTATAGAGAAAGTTAAGTAAGAATATTTTGACACACAAATTACAAACTGAACAAATAAAATAAAGTACGTAAAGTAATGTTGATTCCCAACCATATAAAAAGTGGTCCAAGCTTTTGTTTGGCATGTACTCATATATCAACATCCTCTCTACCTCATGAATGCAAAATCCGAAGAGCTTAACAAGGTTTGTATGTCGGAGTTCATGTATGAGTATCAATTCATTCTTAAACTCTGAAGTTCCTTGTCCGGAACACTTTGAAGTTTCTTCACAGCTATGTCTTCTTCCGTTTCCAATTTTCCCTGAATTGGTTTTCCATAATATTCTCAAATGTTTCATAAAGAATAGAAGACACTCCACAATTCATTATTCCAATGCCTTACCTTATAAACAGGTCCAAATCCCCTTGTCCGAGCTTGTTTTCTTCTGAGAAGTTGGAAGTGGCAGCCAAGACGGTTTCATAAGTAAATACGCTTAAATCATGTTTTCCGTGAAACTAAACGATTGGTTCTGTATCCCACTTATTTAGTTTAGTGTTGGAAGTCAAATTTCAATCTGGGAGTTGTCAAGCATCTGAAATTCTGTCTAACAAGTGCACTTTAGGATTAAAGAACATACCCGAAAATATTTTTGTTGTTCTTAGATAGGTCAAGATGCAAAACACCATTACCAGTAGAGCAGCAGCAATAGCAATGCTAATCCATAACCACTTACGTCCTGCATGTACAATGTAACAATTAATTAAGTACATATTTAGTTTTATATAAGGCGAAAGAAATTTGTAGTGAATTTCTTTGTAAGCTAAGATATTAGTATATAACTAGACTTGCCATTTTTTTTGGGTTTTTCATGGTGT